TTCAACCTGCCTGTTGGTCAAGTGGGTCGTGTCAAGCTGGAAAGAGTGCTGGACAGGAAGCAACACGATGCGCGCATTGATCGATCGGAGGTGATCGTGGTGCGATGCCCATCTGCCACTTTTCTCGCTGCTCCTTCAAAGGGAGATGCAAGCGCCAAGGCAAAGGCATCGCTTGGTGCTCTCATCAAGCAATCCAAAGACGGGCTGTTGCCAACTCTTCATCACTGCCCTGCAGATCAGGGCGATCTCCACGTCAGGGTCAACGGAGTAGCACCGTTGGAACTCGTCTACACCCAATCGTCTGCTTCATTCACCCGACCAGGCGCAGTCAACCCCAAAATCAAGTCCGCCACACCGGCTTCGCACGTCAAGCAACTGCGCATCGCAAGAATCTCGAGCCCTCACCATCCGACCAGCCCGCTCGATGGTCTCTCTGGCTCTGTAAGCGGCATGACCGAAGCTCTGAAGCGATCCATCGTTGCTGCAGATCTAGCCTGGGCGGAAGCTCAAAGTGTCGGTATCCCCTTGACGCTCGACACGCGACAACCTGGCACGTACACCTACACTTTGCACAGCGTTGTCGATGCTTGTGGAAAAAGCATGCATCCTGCTACAAGCGAAAGTCATGGATTTGCGTCGGAAACCATTGCGAGCAGAGCAGTGGTGGTGCATCCCCGGGCGAGGGTAGCGCTGAAATCATGCAGCATCGACAATCCTATCAAGGTGCTGCGCAATAAGCTGGACGACAAGAAGCTGAGGATCGAAGTTTCCGGCGATGGGGCTTTCGACGGGCCTGTACATGCTTTGCTGCGCTACCAATCCATTTCGGGAGCAGCACCAAGCGTCAAGAACCTGACGCTTCCTGCGGGCACATCGGAGCACGCGCTGCAAGGACTCGGAGAGTACAGCATCGATTCGGTAGGGGGTGCCTTTTGCGATGGAGAAGTGCTCGCTCCGTCTGTTTGTCGAGCTGTCGACGTACCTCCGCCACAAGCCGATGTCACATTTCATGCCATTCAAGATCAGTGCGCCGGAACGATCGGAGCGAAAGCTTTGGTCAGCTTGTCCGGCACGCCTCCTTTCCGCCTCGAGATGCAAGAGAGCGTGGCTGACAAGCCGCCTCAGCGTAGCGTCAAGAGGATAGAAGCGATGCGCACGGAAATGGAATTGAGACCCAACCTCAATGGCAACGTTACGTATCGCTTCTTGAAGCTTGACGATGCGAACTATGCCGGCGTCGAGATTCGCGATGCGACCTTCACCCAGAGCATACATCCGCTCGCTGATGCCAGGTTCAGACCTCTGTCCGCTCAGCAACAAGTCTCGCGCACTACTGCCAACCAGCACGCAAGGAACGTCAAGAATGCAGCGACGCAAGCGGAAAAGGTGGTGCTGCACAGTTGTGACGGTGATACCGCCACGGTGGAGGTGGAATTCCGCGGCAGTGGCCCCTTCACCCTCGGCTACTCGCTCAAGACGGGAGAAGGCAGCACCACGTCCAAAGCTACGCTGCACACTATTCAGAACATCAAGACCGGCGCGCATCGCTTCGACGTCGAGATGCCAAAGGTCGCAGCTAGGTCTGGAGGTCTAGTCACGATGAGCTTGATCAGCGTCAAGGATGGTAGAGGGTGCGAACGCGCATTGGTCGGCTCTGATAGATTCTTCGATGTGCAAAGAGAGAAGCCTACCATTGGATTCGAGCTGCTTGGAACGAGGGAAAGAGCGAATGAGGTCAACTTGCTCCAAGGTGAAAAGGCTCGCTTGCCGTTGCGGCTGGTCGGAAATGCACCTTGGACGGTCAACCTGGCGCTCGTAGATGATGTTTCATCGGCAAGAACTCTCGACCTGGCATCCAGCGACGCTTTAGTGGAGGTGGACCAGCCTGGAACGTGGGAGCTGCGCAGCGTTAGGGATGCTCATTGTGCAGGAAGCGTCATCGCCGAACGATCCAAATTCCACGTTCATTCCATACCGCGTCCCACCATCGCATTCGACGTCGATTCCGGCAACCTCGCACCATCCGGCAACGACTCGTTGATACGAAAGGCCGTCTGCGTTGGACAGCCAGATGCGGTGGATATCGTCTTGACGGGTCACTCTCCCTTGTCTATCACGTACGCCCATCAGATCACCGGACACGCCGGTAAGCGCGAAAGGCAGGAAAAGACGCTCAGCTCTGCGCAGGGCGCCGCGACCTTGCCTCTTGCATCCGACAGGTCTGGCTGGCACACGTATGATCTG